CGCGCGCCCCGCCCCGCCCCGTGCGCCCTGCCCGCCTGCCCCGCCCCGCCCCGCGCGGCGCTGAATGGAGGAGGGCGGGGGTGACCGAGGGGAACCTACTCCGCTATCTGCGGCGCGCGCCGGCGGCGGAGCCCGGCCAACCGCCGAATTTAGTAACATCGCCTGCGTCAATCACGCGCCTCGCGTGCGTCAGCGCAGCGCGGCTCCAGGTCCTGCTCCCCCCTCCAGCCTCTGAATGGATACAATGTAGCAGCGCCCTCCTTCTTTCTGAGACTGGATTGGAACCTGCCGCGGTGTAGAGAGCTGAGTTCCTCCGGGTTGGGTCAACTTTTGGCGCATCCTCCCACGATCTTCTCCACACCAGCCTGCCTGAAGTGAAAGTGGAGGCGAAGAAAGATATACATGCCTTAAGTTGTAGTTTTGTTTTCAAGTTTCTGGTCCTACCTCGAACTTTCTTAGAATCTGAAATTTGCTGTCCACAAAGGGATCCGCTCTCTCAACTCTACCACCCCCCACACACAGACACAGGCACGCAAAATTTGGGATAGGTCAAAGAAATAAAATGTCGCATCTGGTTGAAGTGGATCAGGTGGGGACCATGTCCGTCTGCCTTGTGTCACTCAAATATTTCCTTCTCAAAAATTCATTTCTGAAAGAGACTGCTTTCACTCAGCAGCAATCTTTTGGACTAGGAGTCTTTTAACTGATACATTTTGATTTCGTTTTCAAGCCAGAAACTCGCACTTAAAACATTATTTCCAAGGGAGAAAATGCTGTCCTTTATACAGTCACCCCGACTCTCGGCACACTATTTCAATGTAAATGTGTCCCAGAAGACCAGAGAATGTCCCCTAGGTAGGCCAAATGATACTTGCTAATTTTTAAATGTTTCCTTTGAGAAAGTAAAGGGAGCATCTACAACTTTCAAAAAAGTGAAAGCACGAGTCGAGAACTCCATTTCTGACAGGGTGCTGGGGAGGAGGGAAGATTTGCAGCAGACACACTCGCTCAGCTGCTCAGCACGTGTGTTTGTTTCATACACGTTAAGTAGTTTCTGCTGCAGCGTGCGAGTGAATGATGGCTGTGCACTTCGTTGTGTTATAATATGTCCAGTTAGGAAACCAGCGCCCTAAGTGTAAAGAAATAAAATCCCCACAGCCGTCTGCATCCCTGTGCGAAACGAGTCCCCAACCTGTGATGGAAGGAGGAGGGAATTAGCCTAGGCACGGAGGACCCGAAAGACGGAAACAGCTTCAGCAGCACTCCGGGAGGGAAGCGCAGCCGCACCTCGGGGAGTCTTCGGGCTGGAGCCAGAAATCCTCCAGCGAGGGCTGCCAGGTCACTCGGAGAAGCTGGCCGGCGGGGCCATCCCTTTCGGAAGAGCTGTCCTCTCCCCTGCCCCCGCGCCCTGGCTCGGTGCCCCGGGGCAGCCTCGGAGGCGCGCCAGCAGCGCTCCTCCAGCTCCGCTCCACCCGAGCCTGACAGCTGGGCGGGCCCGCCTGACCCGCTGGCGGCCGCTGCACCCTCCGGAAAGCGCGCGCCCTGGCGAGCCGCGCCGCGGCCGAGCGCTGACAGCGCGGGGTGGCCCAGCCCCCGGCCCGGGCGCCGTTTCCATGGTGCGGCCGCGCCAAGGGCCGAGGAGCGGGCGCGCGCGCACAAACACACACACGCCCTCCCTCGCACACGCGGAACCGGCTGGGCCAGGGGAGGGAGGAGGAGGGTGACGTAGCGTCCCATGGCGTCACATTGACGTCTCGCATTCCAGGCACTCTATGGAGAGGCCGCTAGGGCTCCTGTGGCATAAATGACGTGCCGAGAGAGCGAGCGAACGCGCAGCCGGGAGAGCGGAGTCTCCTGCCTCCCGCCCCCCACCCTTCTAGCTCCCGCTCCTCCTCCGCTGCCCGTACACAGACGCGCTCACACCCGCTCCCTCACTCGCACACGCAGACACGCGCGCACACACGCTGCCCTCTCCCCGCGCTCACACCCCTCCTGCCCTGCGCCCTCGCCGGTGCAGCGCCGCGCCGCAGCCGGACGCCCCTCCTGGGCTCACTGGGCGACGCTGACAGCGCAGGCGGTGGCCGTGGAGGTGGGAGAAGCGGCGGCATCCTCCCCCCTGGCGGTGGCCGGAGCCAGGACGCCGGCAGAACCTCTCGGCGGCGCTCTCCCATGAGTCGGGACCGCAGCATCCCAGGCCAGCAGCTCACCGCCTCCGGGAGCCGCTGGGCTTGTCCACCGCAGCCCGTCCGGGACAGCAGCTGTGACTACCCCCCTGTGCAGATTTCGGGGCATCTCTCTAGAAACTCGTTCTAAAGACGGAACCGCCACAGCATTCAAGTACGTATGCGATTTACCCAGTTAATAAGGGGACTTGCTAAAAAGTTGGCGCGCTGGGAAGCGTGGATCTTGAAATTGACAACTTTGAGCGCAGGGCCCACACACACACACACACACACACACACACACACACACACACACACACCTTTCTACTCTGGCTTTGCTCGCTCAGCCGCCCATGGGTTGGAATCTAAAACTTTTCCCCTGTAGTGTGCCGGCAGGGATTCGGGAGCTGATGGAAGTCCTCTCCCCACCCCAAGAGGCGAAAAACCTCTAACAAAGAGGAGGACCGGGATTTGTGCAATTGCAGCTCGGGCGATGTAATTCAGGGTATTTCGGCTCTAGTTGTCATGGTAATGATGCTCTCGGCGGCGGCGGCGGCGGCGGCAGCGGCAGGGAGTTGCAGCCCGGTGACGAACGGCAGTAATTTTCCTGCCGCTTAAGTAGGATTGAAAATAGTTGCTCTGGTGGATCCAAGTTAATGTACCTAGTGGTGGAACAGAGCTGGTTGTCTGGGAGAAAGCTTAAGGAGGGTAGAGGCCTGGGCAGCAGTGGCCGGAGTTCGCTGAAGCGCTTGGAGGATCTTTGGAAAGAGGGCATAATTGTGGGAATGTGGCTTATTGTATTGAAATGAGCCTGGGGCTCCACTAAACACGTCTGCCTGGCCTCGCTGACTTACCAGTTTACACTTTTCCCTTCGGAGGTAATCGGTTATAATTGCCGGCTCCCGCGCCCCAGCACGCGTGGGGATCAAATCCCTCTCCTCTCGGCCTTGGCTGGGTGTGGGAAAGGCATGTTTTACTTGTCACTGGCAGAGCTCGCACTTGCGGAGAAGTTGCCGCGAGTGTATTACTATTGTGAAAGCTCTCGGTCGCGAGACCGGAGCAGTCCAGCGAGCTCAGCCCGCGGCGACTGAGCTCTCCAGGCACTTTTCTGGAACATGTTGGGAGCCTGAGCTGTTCTGAGGGGAACAGCATTGGTCCCTTGATTTCCAAGAACGTTCCTGGAGATCGCTTTTTACTTAGGCTCCCGGATTCTCCAGAGGGAAGAGCTGCAAAGAGTTTAGTAATCAGAGATCTCAGGCTGTTATCCCAGGGCCTTGGAGTGCCGGGAGGGAGGTGCCGGGAGGTTCGGTCATTCCATCGCAAATACAGCGCTGGATCTCTTTTTCCCACGGTAGAGAAATAAGAGAAAAGAGAAGATGCTCAATGCAGAAACTGAACACAATGAATGAAATTACTTTATTCTGGGTATTTTAGCTTAACAAGATGCGCTTGCGTTGAGTATCAAAGACTTCTCAGGCCACCGCACCCTCTTTACCCGCTCCTCCCCCCTTCAAGTCCTCCCCCCTCTCCTCTTCCCTAGGACCAAGCTCTCGCAGAAATCCCCCCCCACACACCAGACTTGCTCTTTCTGAGAATCGGAGTCTTTCCCTTTCTGTCCGTCTGTCCTCCACCTCTCCTGTCCCCGCCCAACCTCCGCCCCCGCTCGGCCTGGGTGGAAACTCCGCGGAGGAGCCCGGGTCACAATGGTGTGTTTCACGGTTTCCTCCACACACTTCGCCACGGGGAGGGGAATACGGGGGTGTTCCTTTCGTCTACCCACGAGAAAGAAAAGAGCTTTGACAGAGGTAGTTATTGCTTCCTAATTTACAACCCCGAGGTTCTATGCCACTGGCCCCGGCGGCCGCGAGCGAGAGCGGCAGAACGTGTTTCCAGGCGCGGAGGCTTTGCCTAGGTAACCGGCCGTTCAGGGGGGCGGAGAGAGCGGTGGGGCGCGCGGTTGGGCAGTAAAAAGGGCGGTGCGGCTCTCTCCCTAGAGTGCTGGGCGCTTGAGAGGAACCCCTTCCTGGGGAAGCCGAGAGCCCCATCCACCCGAGTTCAAAGGCCGGCCCTCAGAGAAGGGCTGTGCTTGAAAGGCCTCCCGGGAGGAGTAGGATCCCCGGTACCCACTGGAGGAGAGGGTGGGAGAGTTGCTGGAGACACTCACAGAAGATGCATTGGGACGAGAAGCAGACGCTACAGTCCAGGAAAGAGCCTCTGTGCCAAAGCTACTGCAAGCTCGAGCTTTCCGTTGCAGCAGCTCAGTCTGGGGGTGGAAAGGGAATCCCCCATTTCCTGGCTCTCCAGGGTGTCCCAGACCTGGGTACTCTGACTCCCTTTCGCTCCTGCAGCTAAGCTCCGGGCACCAGAGTGGCGGGAAATAAAATTACTAGCCCTTGCGCCCCGCACCTCCAGGGAGGTTTTGTGTTTGGTTTGGGGGCCCTTAAGGGATTCACATTCCTACTCACAGAGCTATCCCCACCCCACCCCCACCCCACCCCCAGCAAAGGAGGCACTACAGGCCGGAGTCTGGGGCAGCCAAATCCTTTCGCCTAGGACCGCGAAGCCGCGCTTTCAGCTACAAAGTTTCGCTAGGCAGTGCCCTGAGACTTTGGTCTGGAAGCTGCTCTCTTGGCGCCCTCCGGAATGTGCCCTCTCCGGGCTACCAGGTAGCTGGGAGCCTCCCACCGTCTGGGACACCGCCTGCTGCGAGCAGGGTACCTCCCTCCGCCCGCCCCACCGGCCGCGAACGGGGTCCCCTCCTCGCTTGGCTTCCAGCGCTGGCCTTCTTTCCACTGTGTCCTTTTGTTTGCTTGACCCCTGGCCCCCGAAACTCGCGGCTAATAGAAGCGAAGCTCCATTAGCATTTAGAATGAAAAACGCAGACTTTCTTAATTCCTTGGGGCATTCATGCATTCGTTCCGGACCTTGTGTATTTCCTATGCAACGTGTAAAATTTGTATTTTAAGGGTGGAGGCAGGCGGAGTTGGAAAATGGCTATTTTCCGCTCGTGCCCACTCAATAACCCCCAAATTCAGACAAGTAGATTTGCAAATGTTCTCCTTCCTTAGTTTTCCTGACTTTGTGAGCCCTGGCAAAGAGATCAATTTCTGGACCACGACAGGTTGCAGGACTTTCAGCCTCGGTTTGTGTGCTACAAAACTGCGGTGTATGCTGTGGATGTTGACTACCTTTCCTCAGCTTTCCCCAAGGCGAAATGATGCTTCTTGCCGGGGAATTCCGGGACAACTTAGACACTTTTACTTACCCTCATGTTAATTTTTGGTAATTAACTAGCCTTTCGAGACAACACCTCCCCAATTAGCCTACCCCTGAACCCTGTGACACATCCTCGTCTCACAGCGCTTTCTTTCCTCTTGTCCGGTGCCTGCAGAGCCCACTGCGGGAGAGCGCAGCCCGGCAAGCCCGGGCCCTGAGTCTGAACACTCAGTAGAGCCAGGCAGCACCGCCGAAGCTTTGCCTCGCCGGTCGTCCCCGCCTTCTACGCTCTCAGCCTCTGCTGGAGAGACCCCCAGCCCCACCATTCAGCGCGCAAGATACCCTCCAGGTAGGTCTGAAACTCTGACCTCCTATTTTCCCTCCCACAGAGAGTAATGAGTAGGGGAACCACATGTCAGAGGGGGCCCAGCTGGTCAGCATGCCAGCACAGTTCTGGCCAGGCTTCTTACAGAACAGGTGATTTCCCTAAAGGAAGCTCTTCTGGGTGCCACACCCCGTTGCTAGAAGTGGAAAATCCAGATTAAATTAAGCGTTGCATTTCTCAGAATTATTTTTTCCTATGAAAACTGCAAATACTGTAATAGATTATAGTCTTTTATTCATTTAAGTCTTAATTTTTGCCCTTGTTTTATATCCAAGATATGCATTTGTGAATTATGGAATCACTTAGAGCAATAGAGGCATTTTTATTTGCATAAACCCAGTTATCATTTGGGTGCACACATTTAGATGAGTAAAGCTCAGAAAGAACTGGAAAAACATTTGAGCTGAAAGCCCAGGAGTAAATGTGAGTTTGGCAAAAGAAAGGACAGCACTTGGTTTGCACCTCCTCTTTAGAAATTTGTTAAAGGGATACTATGTGCCAGGCCTGTGTAGGCACCAGAGATATGCAGATTAAGTAGAACAGAGACTCAGCAAGCTCATCTTCCAGCTGGAAACTTCAGAGAGCCACAAAGAAAAGCAATAGGTAGGAAAGGACAGCAAAGAATGACAAAAGACTAGGAGAAATCCTAGAGGTACTGAAGGAGAGTGGACAAAAGAGCAGGATTCTTTCTTGCAAAGGGTTAGCATTTCACTTCATCCCAACCACTGGACAGACACCAAGATAAGGAATCCTTTAGCTTCAAACTAATGAGTGTGCTTTTAAGGCCCTGCATTAAAATTTTTTTTTCTAAGGTTTGAACTAGCCCCTCCTCATCACTGCTTCTTCCAACAGGCCCTCGTCACCTTTTTTCAAGTCAAGATTTCATCCCATACACGCATGACTCAATCAGAGTTGGAAATGTGGGTAAGAGAAAGATGTAAAAGGAAATCCAAAGTACTCACGTTTCTATTAGTCACACCTTTACACCATAGACTCCAAACAGACGTTAAGCACCTGGTTTTCCTCTGGCTCAGAAAAACCAACCACTAGAAAATGCCCATTTTATCACTCCTATTTAACCCTAAAAAAGGAAAATAATTAGGTAAATCATCCACTAGAGCCAGTCATGCTCTAGACCTTCTCCCCCAGTTTAGCTTCTTCTGAACAATAGTAAGCATCTTGGATACCAATCACTTCAGAGGCTCAAAATAGCCAAACTGGTAGAGAAACCAAATTATTCCAGAACTGCTTTCTTCTTTTCTAGGGAATTAATTCTTCTGTTATAAGCATATACCTCAACTATCTTGCCTATTGAATGATAGGTGTTGACTAGTACTATAGAACAGCCACTGCTGACATATCTAATTAGTCAGAATTGACAAATATGTTTGTGTATATATGTATGTATACAGGCACACACACTGTATAGCAGAGAACAGGTTTGGTGGGTGGGGTTTTTTTTTTTTTCAGCTGCTGATCTTTTTCTTTGCAGATGGCACAGACTCCCCCAGTCCATTTCCTAGGCCTACGTTCCCACCTCTCCACCTAGTTGGCTGAAGCTACCAGCAGGGGTCCAGTTTGTGCATGCTGCTAGTCCTGTTTGGAGGAGGGAGGAGGGGGTGGGAAAAAGCAACCACAACTTGTGTGGGCAGCTTCAGTTGGCACTCATGAAATGTTAGAATGTCACTGTCTTTCTTGGCCAGTAAGTCCCACACAGGACATCTTTTCGACTCACCCATAGGTTTACAAATCAATGTGTATAGGTAGGGGGACCAATGATCTCTTTCTCCCACAATTAACCATATGAGCATTTGTAGGCTTTTGCTCTATTCTCCCAGCTTGTGACTTAGGAGGCCACTCTAGTTTATTGGACTCAAAGCCATTTTTTAAAAACATCTTTGGATTTATTTATGAGGGAAGACATTAAGTCCTTAGATCTGTTGGAGAGCAGAGCAAAAGAGAGATGCTGGGTATTGGAGTCCCTTTTGTCTGTCAGGGATTCAGCTGTCTTCCCAGAGAGGAAAAAGTAAGCATGAGGCATTTAAGTCTGTGCTACCAGAAGGAGAAGAGGATGTCACTTCCTGTGTTTCCCAGATTAGACAGCAGTGACTCCAACACTGCCTATTAGTTAGGTAAAGTGTTGACTTGCTTCTGAGAGCCCTTTCTCCCTGGCCCTGCAGATATGCCCTGTGTGCAAGCCCAGTATAGCCCTTCGCCTCCAGGGTCCAGTTATGCAGCACAGACCTATGGCTCGGAATACAGCACGGAGATCATGAATCCCGATTATGCCAAACTGACCATGGACCTCGGCAGCACAGAGATCACGGCCACAGCCACGACGTCCCTGCCCAGCTTCAGTACCTTCATGGAGGGCTACACAAGCAGCTACGAAATCAAGCCCTCCTGCGTGTACCAAATGCAGCCCTCTGGGCCACGGCCTTTGATCAAGATGGAAGAGGGTCGAGCACCTGGCTACCACCATCACCACCATCACCACCACCACCACCACCACCATCACCAGCAGCAGCAGCCATCCATTCCCACGCCCTCTGGCCCGGAGGACGAGGTGCTGCCCAGCACGTCCATGTACTTCAAGCAGTCCCCGCCATCCACCCCCACCACGCCTGGCTTCCCCCCGCAGGCAGGGACGCTGTGGGACGACGCGCTGACCCCCTCGGCTCCTGGCTGCGTGGCCCCCGGCCCGCTGCTGGACCCGCCCATGAAGACGGTGCCCACGGTGGCCAGTCCGCGCTTCCCACTCTTCGACTTCAAACCCTCGCCACCGCATCCACCCGCACCCAGCCCTGCTAGCAGCAGCCACCACCTTGGCTACAACCCGACGGCCGCTGCCGCGCTCACCCTCCCCCTGGGAACCGTGGCCGCCGCGGGAAGCCAGGCTGGCGCGCTCGAGGGCCACCCGTTCAGCCTGCTGGGCAAGCGGGCGGCCCCGCTGCCTTTCACGCCCATCGGCCTCACGGCGTCCCCTACTGCCTCCAGCCTGCTGGGCGAGAGTCCCAGCCTGCCGTCACCGCCTAACAGGAGCTCCTCTTCAGGAGAGGGCACGTGCGCAGTGTGTGGGGACAACGCCGCCTGCCAGCACTATGGGGTGCGCACCTGTGAGGGCTGCAAAGGCTTCTTCAAGGTGAGAACCTGCCTCCTCTTGACGGCCCCTCTCCTCCAGTCCCAAGCCAGCCCCTTCCTGCAGCCAGTGGTTAGGAGTAGCCATTGTCTATTCTGGTTTGAGTCCTGTAATCTGGAAGCTGTGTTTCTCAGGGGTTTTTAACTTTAGGGCAGGGTACAAGAAGGCCACCCAGAAAGGTCTATGAATCAACTGGCCTGTCATTGCCTTAAGAGCATTTTTTTTTTTCTGAAGAGAGCTTTCATCAGATTGTCAAAAGGATCTGTGCTTCAGCAATGCTTAAAGCTCATTGCATTCCTTTCGGTCCTCTCGAGATCTCAGAGGGGAGAGCCTGGACTTTTGTGTCTCACTTAGACTTCACAGTAAGGGCTGAGACTCCAGAGTCCAAAAGGCCTGATGTGAAATTTTGGCCACTCACTGTCTTTATCAATAGTATCTTTTTTTTTTTTTTTTTTTTTCCAGAACCGGGGATTGAACTCAGGCCCTTGTGCTTGCCATGAAAGCGCTTATTCCACTGGGCCATCTCCCTGGCCTATCAATAGTATCTTGATGGTAGATTATAATTATGTTTATTTCATAGCTGAGGATATGGTGGGGGAGAGAGGCACTTCAGCTGCCTCAGGACATGCACAGGGGGAGCAAAATTGAGGCAGGATGATAACTTATACTTGCGTGGCCTCATATGAATGCCCTTGTGCTGGAGCACAGTAGACAGGCAATTGCCCACAAGCAGTTTGTGGCAGCTGCAACACGGAAGATAGAAGTTAGAGTCCCACCAATCCACTATATCTTTTTGAAACCCTTCCTTACCTCTGTTCCATATACAGTACCACGTTTCACCACTGTTCATTCTCTCACAGACCCTGAGGAGAACTTTACAGTGGGAGGGTCTGCACCTCCTCATACCTCAAGGAAGCTCAACTCTAGAGAGGCAAACCCTTGGGCAGGTTTTGTGCAGTGGTTTAGGCGCATGTGGGCATTTGAGATGGGTCCAGCTGGCCTTTTCACTCCAGAATTCCATGCCCTTTCCACCATTAGAGGTGTGGAGGAGTGGTCAAGGAGGAAGACCTAGTTGTTTTGTTGCTCTGTCTTCTGTCATTGAGTCCTTCGCACACTTTCATGCCACTGTCCTCTTTCTTCACCCCACTGACCATTATTTCAGATCCACACAAGTCACTGCCTAACCTCCAATGCTGGGCAGGACAGAAGAAAAGGGGAAATGAGAGGCTGATTGAGTAACTAGGATTTGGGGGCACAATAGGATGTATCTAGGAGCTCAGTGATACTGAGTGTAGAAGACTCAAGTGAGAGCCTTAGGCCTGACACTTCTTTCTAAGCCTCTGTTTCCCTATCAGGGAATAAAACTCAGAGAATAGCTGTAGTGAATGAGATTAACACCTGTACAAAAGCACATGTAATTTGTAAAGTCCATGAAATAAGTTTATTATTAAATGAAAACTATGAAGTATTTGTAAAAATGTATGCCTGTAGGTGGGTATATATACAAGTAACAAACAGTTATTTTTTTATGTGAGGGTTATAAGAGTGTCATTAATTGAGTTTTGTAGATAAATGGTAAAACGCTTGTGGAAAGATTAGGCAATATGTTAAATGCCCTATGGGTCTTCATGCACAACTATGAAGTTTTAAATGCAGAATGCCCCCCACCTTTTCCATTAAGGTTAATCCCCCCCATCTCAACTCTTCAAGTTTCAAGTAACTGCATTCCTTTAGCAGGTTTGATTTTCACATCATTTCACTGGAAACACTGAAGGGCAGTAGAACAGAAAGCAGAAAGGGAGAAAAAAATGAAAAACAATTAAGAGAGGTATAAATAATAGAATCACCCTTAAATAATTGAGAGTTGACCAAAATCTCAAAGTGGTTATTCATTATGAATCTAAAAATCTCCATTAAGTGTTCCCCAACAGGTTCTGTTTTTTGCAGCAATTCCTTGAAAACAAATCTATACTTGAATGGGGGGGCAGGATGGGGAGAACCACCCCCACAGATCTGTTAATTAAGGGAACAGGAGCAGGTTTTACCCAGTGGCTTTCTACCATTAAATTGAATTCTTTAAAAATGTGACATGAAGTGCAGTTAATGATGAGAATTCAGTGATTGAACCGTAACGATCTCTCCCTGTCCTTCAACTGTGCAGGCACACACAAGTGTGGGGAAGGCTTCAGGTTATTGAGAAAATGTGTACCCGAAGCAAAATGCCACCAGGCACTTAAATTGGCATATCGTCTTGAGGATAATGCCAAGAAATAGACTGTTAGAAATTACTGCATTCAGTGAAATAGGGCTTCCTTTGAGAAACACAAGTTTTCTATCCTTACATTTAAATCCTGAAACTCAGAAGTATGTTTGTGTCTTAGAATTTTGCATTTCAAACTGGACAGATATGTTTTAGACTTGAAGTAGCTTGGCTTCGTTAAATTTTTAAAGCTATGTGCCAGCAGTTTAGAATCTTATACCCTATGATGAAATAAAAGGTGACAACGTGAAAACTGAGAAATGAAAGGTGAAGACCCCTGAAAAAGGTTGAAAGTGAACCTAAAATTTGGATACAAAATAGGCCACAAACCCCAAGTTGTCTGGGCCTTTTTCATGCAGCCCAGACTTCCCAAATAAATACTAACTTTATTCTCTATTTGGAGTTGATACATCCAGATAATTTCTGAATGATTTCACTGTAAGGGAAATATGTCCATTTGCACAAATGTTTTTAAATTGCATCAAACAAGCATTCTTTTACACTTGGAACACAAAATATGTTTAATTGTTTTTCCATGTATCATTTAAAAATTCTATGTGATTCTGAAAAATATGATTATTTTTATAGCCAAGCTCAGGTTTTTATGCTGTGTCTTTTGCAATATGGCTATTTTAGTGTCTATATCAATAGTCATTTATGAAATAACCTATTAATGGGAATTTTCACTCAAAATATATGGCTTTCATATTTCTCTCTTATTTGTCTTTGGGGAATTTTGTTTCTTTCTTACATGTGATAATGATTTTTTTTAAATGTAATTTTAAGATTTTGCTTTCGAAAATCAGAAATGGCTAGTATATTATATATATTCTTCAAAGATAAAATAAAATACAAAAACCAGTTAATTTCTTTTTAAATTAGAATAATATTTCCTACATAGTTTTACAAAACAAATCTTGATTTTGCTTTTTATGATTTCATCTCTGTTCAGTGACAAAGCCCAGTTACTGTGATATTTGACTTATGATAGTGATAGGCTACAAAGTACATCTCAGATAATTTTGATTTTATTTTAATAAGGTCAGCAATAATCAGGGGAGTGGAACAAGTAGAAAATTGTTCCCAAAGGGATATTAAAAGTGGAGATAATCTAATCCTCCAAGGAATGATATGTTGACCTGGTAATTTCAGATATGATTTTATCATTCAGAGTTGGGTGCCTCCTGAGACTTGCTTCAGAACAATCTGAGATGATTTTCATTGTCAGCAGCTAACACTAATAAAATTGTTTTTCCTGCAGGCTAGCGTGTTAGGAAATTAAATTTATCTAATTATACGAATTGCACTGTCGCTTTTCACGTTGTAATTAAAATACATCTTGTCAGGTCCTACCTCTTTCCAGAAACTATTAGTTGACTATCTCTGTATTGTATTTTTCTCAGAGAACAGTGCAGAAAAATGCAAAATATGTTTGCCTGGCAAATAAAAACTGCCCAGTAGACAAGAGACGTCGAAACCGATGTCAGTACTGTCGATTTCAGAAGTGTCTCAGTGTCGGGATGGTTAAAGAAGGTATGAATATGATGCTCTTCATCCAGTTTGCTATTCTCAGACATCACTGAAAGGAATGTTAATATTTATGTAAGGATGGTGTATTTCCCTAGTTACTCTTTCATTCCAACATTTTATTTGTATGGAATATATTTCCATTTAAAAATACCTGCAGACTACTTATTCTGATTTCTCAAAATCAATAGAGAGCTTGTGTGCATGCATATGTGTTCTATTTAAGAAAGAAAATTTCAAGGCTAATTCATTACCAACTGTATCGGGTATCTTTTCTAATGCTTGCTTCAACTCTTATGAAATCATTGACAGCAACTGGGATTCGATCCCTGGCATACAGTGCTGGCCCCACCCCTGGGGCAACTGAGACTGGATACCATAGCAGGCTCCTGTAATCCCAGCCCTTGGGAGGCTGATAAAAGGAGGATCGCTATGAGTCTGATCTATGTAGTGAGACCCTGTAGGCCCTGTACTAAATAAATTTTTTAAAAATCATTGAATATTATTCCAAATTTATTGCCACTTTTAAGTTGTTATTAATGACTTCCCAACCATCATGTATTTCAATTCATTTTTGAGATTTATACTTTTTTATGATATAATCCATAAAGACTGTTTTCTTTCTCTCTTTGAATCAGTTGTACGTACAGATAGTCTAAAAGGGAGGAGAGGCCGGCTGCCTTCCAAACCAAAGAGCCCATTACATCAGGAACCTTCTCAGCCCTCTCCACCTTCTCCTCCAATCTGTATGATGAATGCCCTTGTCCGAGCTTTAACAGATTCAACACCGAGAGATCTGGATTATTCCAGAGTAAGTCTTACATGTTCCACTTTTTATTGAATTATCAACATCTGTACTCATGATATTTCATAGAAATAAGAGTTGATTGGATGACTTCAGGCCTAGCACTGTGGATAATCCATTTTCATACCTTTTCTGGGTTTCTCATTTCATTTAGCAATTCAGTGCATCCATTGCACCAAATAATGTTTGCCTTATTGGCTGTCTAAATGCCTTAACAAATGATCCTGCCAGTGCTGCACCTGTTGTACTCACTTTGCAGGATTCCTGGTGGTTGTGCCAGTGAAAATCTGTACAGGTGAACTACAATTTGTCAATAGATTTCCTTCATGTTCTATACAAAGTGACTGCTGTTTTTTTTCATATTGTGCTTAAACTATGTGAGTGAGCCTCAAGTTATCTTTAAGTAACTTATCCATTTCACTGACACTGATTAACCTGCTGCTTATTCAGAAGGATTAGACCATTGATGGCTAAGAAGCTCTGGCCTTCACATTAGGCATTGTGAGGAGGACTGGGATGGAACTCTGCCTCCGCCTCACTGCTTCCTGCCAGTGTCACCTGGCTCCTGCTCTTGGCTTTCTCTTTTCTCTGGAGGAGATGATTATGATATTTAACCCCAGAGGGGTGTATTGAGCATCAGTCACACAGAGAGATGGAAACGTTTTGAAAACCATAATATTAGCAGTGTTGTTATTTAAGTCATCCGAAACATACCAACATTTTCTTATTTTGTAGGGATGTAGGAAAATCTTATCAGTCTGAATTCTGTGAATTGCCTTCAATTTGGATAATACAGATAAAAGCCATGAAACTAGATATTCTGAAAAAATGTATAAACATTACCCTAAGGTCTTTTTAAAAAAAGATTTAGAAAAGAAAACTTCTAGTTAAACAGGATCTGACTGAAGAGAGAAGGAAAGAGAAAAATATCACAGGTTTTAAATAATATCTATACACTGGACATAGCGGCACATTGTTTCATTTGATCCTTTAAGCAGCAGTGAACTCTAGGGATTGTTTAGAAGCATAGACAAGGAGAGACCAGTTCAGGGGTCTCCAGTTGATTGGTCTGACTGGCAGCTGAGATTAGGTTGTCTTCCCTGGGTCTAGTCAGCATTTCAGGCATCTGTTTGCATGTCTGGCAAAGCCAGTGTGTCTTCGCTATTGCCCTCCTTTTAGGTTGCAGTGTTGATGGAAACGACTAGTTACCTGCTGTGACCTTTTTTCTCTCATCCCCACCCTCATTAGGCTGTGAAGCTTCCTCTCTGCACCTGATCATAAGACTCCATATCAGAAGCACAGTAGACTCTTAGCACCAAATGTTGAGGACTCTTTTTCTGATTACAAGTAGCATCTCCTGACTAAAGTCATCTTGAATAATAGTATAACAGAATAAGGTGGTGGCTAAGGGTGTGGGCTTTGGAAGTATGCAAGCCTAGATGAAAATCTTAACACCATCATTTACGAACTGAAAGACCCTAATATGCTCAAGTAAGCATATTAATGCCCAAGTTGCCTCATCTGTGTTATAGGGTAATAATGCATGCTTCCTGCAGTTGTTTTGCGAACATTAATATGATAGTATGTGCCAATGCTTTAGTACACTACTCTATATTATTTCCTTAACCAAATTTTCTTACTCTACCCACATGTTGAATGTACTGAGCACTACACATTACACATATCAGGTACCATTCAACAGTACATTATAATTTCCATTGCACAGATAGGAACTTAAAACTTGGAAAAACTAACAGGCTGACTTGCCCAAGGTCACAGAGCTAACATACATCTGAGATAAGATTAGAGGCTGACTTTCTTAGACCCCAAAATCTGTGCTTCTTAATCCCAAGTTTCATTGCTTTGCTGATTTCAGTGAAAGTGGGTGGTAGATAAATATTTGGGGATGGTGACTTCTCCCTGAAGCACCCTGGATTCTTCCTATGTAATTTGTCTGCTTTAATGAAGCTTCTGAACACTGCTTTGGCTAAGACTTCAGCCCACGATCTGATATTGTTCTAGGGCATTTAACATCACCATTGATGCCAACTCTAGAGAACGAAGGCCCCCAAAGTGATATTTTGGCCCCAAAATATCCAATTATCAGTCTTTGTGGCCTAATTACTCATTCAGTGGTAAGCCCTCCCCAACCCTCTGAGCTGTCCCAGCTGGGAACTGTCTCCACAATGAAAAATCAATCCTCTGTGTTTGCTTGCCTCTGCACCATTCTGTCTGTTAGTCTAGAGTCATTGTCCTCATCAACAAACATTTATCCAATTTAATTGTTAGCTTTGTCCAAAATAGCAGATTGACCATGCCAGAGTCTGGGTCACATTGATAATACCTATAGGGTCTGGCTCAATTTTGCAAAGCATATTTATTTTAATTGCATTGTTTTGGAATCAGGTTGAACCTCATAGCTTGGGTTCTCCTGATTTTAGATAGCTTTACAAAATTATCAAAAATTGGACCAAAATCAACTAAATAAAAAGACTTTTTAAAAAATACAGTGATTTTTCATCAAAAACTTGGATGAAGGCATAGGAGCATGCTGATCACATTTGCAGATGACAGAAAGCTGGGAGGGATCGCTAATATGATGGATGTCAGTATCAACATTCAGAGTGATCTCGACAGGTTGGAACAGGAAGGACTGCAACCATCACGAAGAAAGTTAACAAAAATAAATGTGAAGCTCAGCTTTTAGAGTTATATAAAAAATGGGAGAGCCTTGGCTTGTCAGTGGTTCATTTTAAGAAGCTCCAGGGTTTGTTCTGTAGACAATGTAAACCAAAAAAAATCTCTGTCTGGTGAAAGTAAGGGATGCTGAACTACCTGCTGCAGTGCTAGCACTATGAGACTACAACCAGATCTAGACTGGGCCCACTGACTCTGTCCCATCAGGCCATCCTTCAATGACCGAGTCCAGTTCCAAGCTGGGTTTAAGAAGCATGTGGCTATATTGTTTCTGAAAATTTGTAAGGAATGGTTGGAGGAAATGAAAATACAAATACAGGACAGGGGAAGATTTGGTGGAATTAGGTCATTCTTTTGCCCTGTATCAGAAAAAAAAAAAAGACTGTCACTCCTGCTGGCAAATGTAGAGCAAGAAGGAAAGGGACAGACAAGCTCTTCTGGCCGTACAAGGAGCTGTCAGAGTGTGAGATCAGCAACACAAGAAGTAATCAAGATCATGTAACAGGATTCCCCGCAGGAGGAAGGTCACTCTGGATGACATTAAGCCCCTTCCAAACCTAGACTTTATGATTCTGATGTTTACTTTATTGTCCTTACGTGCAAGTATTCATATATACATACACATACAGAAATACATATGGTTAAATAACTTGATATTTACCAGTATTGAGCTTGCTTTGTTCTCAAACCATTAATACATAAAATGAATGAAACAAATGAATTTATTCAGTGCTACTTTGAACCAGTCATCACCATGTATTTCTTATATAATTTTACTTTAGCCCCCAGCTCTGTGTGGCATAATTTATGGTTTCAGTCATTTTTAAGACTGTCATTTGTTGAAATTCAACTCTCATAACTTCCCCTTAATATTTTGATTTTACAAATTTATAGTACTAGAGGTGACCCTGAAATCATCTCATCTAACCCCTATAGCTTCAGACAAGCAAAGTAAGGGTCAAAGGGGTTAATTTGCTTGCAAACATCAGTGGAACATCTAGAATGAGATCCAAATCATATTTCTCAAGGTAGTGTTTCTATTTCACCATACTTCCATTTACTTAATGGTAATTTATTAGATTTGTTTTAAAAATAAAGTTTATTAGATCTTTAAAAAATTATAATACTAGTAAAATATACCCATTTCTTTTCTTAAAAGACAAACCATTTAGATGTACATACAATGAAAAACATCTTTTCTTCTTTTATGCTTGTCTCATTCCATTCCTCAATAGTAACTGAAGTACACATTTTAGTATATGTATATACTTTACTGCATTTTAAATTTGCTCTGTCAAGTTTGAATGTGAGAGTCAACTTGCCCAATATAATTATTAAAGGTGCTATCTTTCTAGAGTGAACCAGGTCAATAATGAAAGGAGATTTTTGCCAGCCCAGGATGTTATAATCCTCATGTATCAGCACGTATGCCTGTAAGGTAGGAAGTGAGCAGTTTTCTCCCTGTTAGTGAGAAAGGGAAAGGTTTTGCTCCAAGTCACAGGGAGAATGAATGTTTCAAACGGCCAGAAGAGAGCTCCTGAGCTTTGTGACGCATTCCTGGCTCTGAGACCTTCGCTTCTCCTTTGGGCCAAACTTCTCTCCCTCATAAATGAGCTCAGATCATTGTACATCAGTGCAGTCAAAACATGTCACATTTGATTTGTTTCTCCTTGAAAGGCTGCTATTCTCTGCCCCACAGTTGCTTTTAATTTAGCAGTACAAATATATATAGACACTGAACTTGGCTTGAATGCCTGCATAACTACTTCTGAGGAAATACACTTAATGCCCTCATTAGTTGGTCACTCCAACCAAGTATTTGTCAGCACACTAGCATGTTTTCTGGTAATCGGTGCTACTTAATGCAGACACAGACTGAAAATACAAAAGATACTTCTCAGATAAAACAAGGCATCAATAAATGGCATTTAAATGTTAACAAGATAAGTGGAAAAAAAAAAATAAATGTTAACAAGATAGCCTATAAGAACATGGGTTAGGCCTCAGCAGTAAGCAGCATGAAGACTGCCAGAGTGGCTTTGAGAAGTTTCTCAGAAGGCAGTCTCCAACTGCCACCACTTAATTGACTAGACGAATTCTGGACCACTCCCGTCCCTCTGTGGATCTGTGTCCCCGTCTGAATGGTGTAGAGATTGGACCAGCTGCATTCCTGTGGTCTTTTCCAGCCTTGTCATTCCCTGACCCTCCAGTCCTTGTCCCTGCTACAGCTCCACTAAGAGTACAAGTTAGCATTTCCCTGAGCTAGAACCCAGTCTACCTCTGCCAGAAAGAGCTGTGAGGTGTGCTCCAAATGCTGATTGCCAGGCCATGCTCAGACCTCCCGAATCAGAGTTGAGGAAAAACTGAAGCAGGCAAGCATCTGTATTTTAGCAAGTGCCTTGGATGATTCTTTGGCAGACTAAGGTCTGAAATGATTCTTTGGCGCACTAAGGTCTGAAAGCCACCAATGTAAGTTAATAATGACAACTGAATTTTACCTTGAATTTCCCAGTTTGTTGTTGAAATTGAGAAAGGACTATCAAAAGAGATACACATTTTTCAGAAAGCAATGAAATTCGTTTAACAAATGCCTGTTGGGTGTCAGACACTGTTCTAAGGCAGTGGATACATTGACTGTTAAACAGGACAAAGTCCTTGTTCTCATGGAACTTAGAAAAATACATAACAGCAGTGATGTCATTGGTGGGAAGAGGGTAACTTGGTTTCTTCCTTTTTGCAGGAAGAGGGACAGGGCAATTAGGTCAGAAAAGAAGAAATTTGGGGAACATGTATGGCCAATTTTAGTTTTATTGACAAGTTTTTAAATGTCATTTTTTAAAAAAGTGTAACACAGTAAGAATGTGTATACATGGTTTGATAGTAGAATGATCAGATCTAAACTTCTTAGCACTATAAAGACCTAGGGGAAAGTAACATACCAAAGGGAGAAAAATCTATCTTTATGCTCTTTTACATATTTAGCCAGGACTGAAAATGAAGGAAATATTCTATTCCACTCTTCTATTAGAGCATCACATCACTAATTTTTTTAGTCCCAGTGTCTACCATCCAAATAACTTGTTTTAGGAGTAAGCTGTGGTTGAAGTCTGAGTTTTACAGGCTGTGTTACTACCCCAATGGGATGGGACTCATTTTAGTTAAAATAATATCTATTGCTATTGTTTGTAGCTCTAGATTCTCATTCCAGGTGCATTGGGGACATCTCAATTAAAGATTGATTATCTCTAACATAACTCTGTGTCTTTGACTATGGCTAAATCCATAGTCTGTTGGATCACAAATTCATACAGGCTAGAATGAAAAATTAGCATAAAAGTTCATTTAAAAAATTTGTCTATATTTAGCTTATGTTAGATTGGCATAATCAATAAATATCTCTTGGTTTTCTCTGGTGAATCCAAATCTATCTCACTCAGAAACAACAGCTATGGAAGACCACTGAAGCCAAAGTAAGGACCTAGTTCTTTCAATTCCAGGTCTAAATTGGCAGGTTAGGCAGAGAATGTAGGATATTTTGTTTTATTTCTTTCAATTTTAAATGTAAGAAAGGAGATGGTTTTTCTTTTCTCTCAGCGTTGAATGCTGACCCTTCCATCATCCCCAGGTTACTGGTGGATCAAGTTGAAACCAGTTTGGCTCCAAAATTCTAGAACTTGGACTAGAATCACTTCAGGTGAAGCCCAGAGGGCCTGGCTGAGGTCCATGGGGCCAGCCTGTGGCTTTCCTCCTTGCTGAGCTCTATCAGGAAAAAATACACACGCAGAGTAGGCAGGGACTGCTCTTCCCTGAGTGCAGCAGGCATGAAATGTGAGCCCAGCAGGAGCAGGAGCCTGCAGAGCATTCTGGGTGAAAGCTGCGCGCTCTGGTGGGTTCTGAACAAATTTTGAGAGCAGAACAATTGTTGAGGTGTGAGCCATGTTTCAGGGCCATCAGTGCAGAAGTGGGCTGTTAGAGCTCATGCTCAGGGGAAAGTTTATATCTTTTTCTCTCCCTTTAACGACTATTTAAAAACAAAATAATGCTGAATTAGTGTCAATTTTTAAGCAATGACATCATACCTGGTATGATGTAGCAATGTTTGGAATCTTTGATTGCAAGATGCAGAAGAAATCAGAGGAATCAGCCAATCCAGCCAATTTCTGTTGGAGACAAAGAGGCTCAGGGAGATTAAGTGATTTTTGTTTAGCTGCATGGTAGATAAGTGCAGGGACCTTACCATCTGTCTTGTTGCCCAGTCCACTGTACTTTACTTCCTATTGCCATTTACTCAGAAGTTTCACATGTAGCACTGCCAGCTTTGATAAGGAGCTTCTGCCATGGATTTTATCCTGCTATCAAATAAAGTTATGAAACCATATTAATAAAACAGAGGAAAATTAAAAGACATTAAATCATTTTTCTCCACTCATCTCCAGTTACAAGTGTACACACTGAAAGGGAGTGATGGGAAGTGACTGTGACACAGGGTCACGCAGTATTCTTGACTGCCCTTGGGAAGAGGGTCTGCCTCCTTCCCCTTGGCTCTGCCTCCTTCCCCTTGGCTTTGCTATCAAGGTATATGGCTTTATACAACGTCCAGAACTTCATAGAACCCCAGTAATCTTGCAGGATTGTTGGGAACAGAGGAGCCAAGACTCTAAACCGGACTCAGTGCTATAGAAAGCTAGGATGAAAGTTAGGGAACGCCTGCTTCAACCCATTCCTCTATTCAGTAAATATGTAAGCTAAGAGGTGGTTGCAGACTGAAGTATCTAAACCCTTATCAGCAGCATCACTGTCCTCATTGTGTTGCTCTACACGTCTGATCTTTCCTATATCTTATCATATTTAATCAAAACAACTAAATGTTAAAGAAGATATTATTATCCCCATCCTACAAAGAAGAAAACTAGGGTTCAGAATTGTGAAATAACATAAAATTAATTTACAACTCAAGGACCAGGACAAAAAGGAGATTGAACTACCTGGGCTCTCTATCTGATGTTTCCTTAGTTATGTCTTGATGCTTGTTGGAAAAATACAAAGAAAAAGATGCAACCAAATGTCTAGTGTCTCATTGCCCTATACCTAGTAGTTAAATACCTCAGCTCTGCCTAATGACTGTTTCTCCTCCAATCAGGTGTGACCATTGTGACAAACGTAGGTGAGCCTTTCATTGAAAACAATACTCAACAAGCATTTCATCAGTTATGTGCCAGTTACTGTGCTGTTGACAGAAACATAGGACCAGTGAATATAGCTCTCAAGAGTTCTAAGTAAATTAAAGCAGAATGACTTTTAAAGATCCCCAAAACCAAACCACCAGGCTACCAGCTAGTATATTAATAGCCAGGAGGTGTAGGACTTGAAATTCCATGGCCAGTTAATTCCTGCCTTATGCCTGTTGATACCTAAGATGGAAAATTTCTTGGCCTCTCTGAGCTTCAGCTTCTTCATCTGTAAAAATACAAGCTAAAATCTTTCCCATGAAGAGTAATTAAGAGATACAATGCAAATTCATATTTAGCTATGCTGGTATAAAGGCAATGATGCGTACATTTGTGTGTGTTTTATATATCTCTTAAATCTCTATGCTACTGATTGTCCCTTGATTATTATCTTGCTGCATCAATCTTCCTTCCTTAAGCAGAATTTTTTTTTCTTCCACCAAGCTCACAATGCTACCACAATATCCAAAAGCTGGGTAGACACATACAAACTTATCCCTTCCTTCCTTCTTTCCTTCCTCCTTTTTTCTCTCTTCCTTTCTTTCTTCTTTTCTCTTTCATTCTTCCTCCCTCTCCTTTCTTTCTCCCTCAATCAGTGCTATACAGTAGATTTTCAGCAGTGATGGAAACATCTATCCCACATTTGCTATTAGCACTTGAAATATGGCTAATGTGATGAGGAGCTGACTTAATTTTTTTTCATTTTGATAATATAAGTATGCATAGGTCCCAAATCTAATGTCTATTTGCTTGGGCTCTGCCAACAAGATACCCCACTCTCACCTCTTGGTTTTTGTTTTTTTGTTTTTGTCTCACAGAAAGTGATCAACAGCAAGCAATACACATTCACCGCCCATAGTAGTTAATTCTGTCATTCTCAGAGTCTGGTGTATGTCACAGTTACCTGGAGGTCTTGGTCAAATAGTCTGCAGAGCCTATTCCTAGAGTTCCTGGAGTGGAGCCTGTGATTGTCATTTCTATCACATTCTCAGATATCCTCTATGCTGCTGTTCCACAGAACATATTTTGAGAGCCAGTGGATTGTGCAGCATCTTGTGGGGATACTGCTAAGCTCTAATAGAATCAATCCCTGGGGACTCACTCAGACCCGGACCCTTAGGGCAGTGATTCTCAACATGAGCTGCCATTTGGAGGAATCTAGGGAGCTTTTACAATTCCCATTGGCCAGGCCTAATCCCAGACCAATACAGTTAGAATCTCTTGGGGATAGGACCCAGACAAAAGTGTTTTCTTAAAGTTCCTCAGATAACTGCTGTGCACAGCCAAGGTTGGAAATCACTTCACTAATAGGACTTGTGCAAACTTCTTCACCTATTGAGTAATAACAATAAATCACTTCATTTAAATCAGAAAACCATTGTGCAAATCAGATGAGATTGTGAAGGTAAAAGGGGTTTGTAAGCCTTGGAACCTAAAAGTAAAGATTTAAGCATTGACAGTTGCAAATTGGGAAGAGCCAATTTGCAAATGATGGTGTGTTTCCATGGAATCAGGATGACACTATTTTCTGTGGTTTGCATTTTAGTACTGTCCCACTGACCAGGCTGCTGCAGGCACAGACGCTGAGCATGTGCAACAGTTCTACAACCTCCTGACGGCCTCCATTGATGTATCCAGAAGCTGGGCAGAAAAGATTCCGGGTTTTACTGATCTCCCCAAAGAAGATCAGACATTACTTATTGAATCAGCCTTTTTGGAGCTGTTTGTTCTCAGACTTTCCATCAGGTAATTACTACTATCTAATGTTCCTTTAGTCTGCTCTTTGGAGAAGTTTGCACCCTTCTGTGTTTGTAACTGAATCATCAGACTGGGCGTGGTGGCACCTGCCTATAATCCCAGCACTTGGGAGTCTAAGCAAGAGGATCACTATGAGTCCAACCTAGTAGTGAGACCCTGAACACCCTGTAGACCCTTCCCTAAAATACAGAAGAAAAAGGGAAAAAACAAAACTAAAAAAAAAAAAAACTGAATCATCAATGAAAAGCTTGCTGAAGAAGCAAATGTGAAATATGATCAGGCATTTGCACTGGGCAGTGGGTAATGCAAAGAGTGCTGGTATCTCATCCAGGATCCCTGGGTTCTAGAACCAGTTCTAAAACGAACTGGCTGAATGACCCTGAGCAGGTCATGGCCTTAGTGGATACTCAGCTTCCTCCATTGTTTAATAATGAGAATGGATTTGGTGATCTCATATGTTCCTGGCAGCTCCAGTATTCTGTGCTTCTAGGAAGAGTGTCGTGATGCACAAGATATTTCCTGGGAGCAGGTATTTGCTTGGGAATGCTGTTTGTCTCATGGGTTTCTGTTTCACAAGTTTCTTTCCTAAAACACCTGATGGGCCTCTAAAGAGTCCTCACTACTTCTCAATCCCCAACACTTATTACAAGAGAACAATTCCTTTCTCTTTTTTTCCAAAGAGAACAAGTTCTTAATCATAAGATTCAGTCCAGCCTCTCTTACACAGTGACATCAAACACAATCAGGTAGTGATTTTTTTTCAAATACTTGAATCTCAGGTCTAAACTCATTTCATAAATTCCACATATAACTTTTTTTTTTCCCAATAGTTTCCTACCCCAATTTCACTGGAAACACACATATTCCTCTTTCTGTTGTGGCAAATAGTTCAAATAATACTGAACATTAAACACTGACTAATATAAAGGTTTTAAATATGAAACAAATTAAAAAAAAAAAAGCAAAACAACTGGGCATGGTGATGCACACCTATAGTCTGAGCACTCAGAAAGCTGAGGTAGGAGGATCACTTCAAGTGTGAGACCAGCCTGAATTACAAAGCAAGATGCTGTCTCAACACCCCCCTCCCAAGAAAAAAAAGAATAGTTATATGCAAAAGGTACCTGGAATCCTTAAGCTGATTCCCAAAATGAATTGAGTTTATAAGAACTATGGTGAAACGAAACACCCCACCCTGGCTTTGGAAAAGGACTATAATACAACATTCAGTCAGCTGAAGATGGACTGGTAGAGGTTACTGTACATAGATGTCAAGGCATTTTTGTGTGTGAAGAATCATCCAGATCTTCCCAAGTCTGAATGAGCAGTCCTAGGTCAGTTTCTTTTTTCTATATTCCCAAGGCTGTATGTGTAGCCTTTGAAAATTGTACTTTAAAACCCTTCCTATTCATACATGGCATATTTAATTGCTTCCTTGCTTCCTTTCAGTTATGTATTTTTTAGGAGATGGCGCCAACATTTGACCAAATATTAGAGGACAAATATCATAATCTTTCCCCACTCTTTCCTACCTTCCTCCCGGTTTCATACTGTGGTTCTAGAAACTCCTGTTGACTGTATATGCTTTCATACCTCGTTCTCATCTATTTTGGTTTGCTAGACCTTGAAGGAAGTTCAGAAATCTGCATTTTTATCTTATGCTGTGGAGATCCTGAGGCCAGTGGTTAGAGATTCATGTTGAAATTCTGACATCAACTCATTCTGTCCTGTGTGTGCCTTGTATAAAGAGATCAGTGGGACAGATGGGGGTAGGGAGAGCTACAGAGTCAGTAATTACTTCATTTATAGCCAATCCCATGTACAGTACTCTCAGATTCACAGTTTACTATATAAGACTCACTTTTGTCAAATTACAAATGAATCTAACTTATGGATGTTCTCCTAGAACAGAACTTGTTTGTAAGTCAAGGGACTTACCATACCCAAAGCCAAGCAGCACAGTCTGCTGTCTGTTAGGCATCCAGCAAAGGATTAAGTAGGTGGCAAGCTCCATGCAGATGGGTACCATATCTGTCCTATTCACTAGTTGATGCTCAGCAAATACTTGCAGAGAGAAGGAATGAAAAAATGCAGTTAAAGTAATGGACTTTGCTAATTCACTAGACCAACACAGATAAATATATTGGAAGCAACTTTAAAAGTTAAAAGAAAGCTGTGTTTAAAATATGAACAACATGAAATTCAGAATTAGTTATACCTAATACTTTTGAAATCCTGTTGTATACTAGATTCTGTGCATGAGTTTTCAAATCTTTCATTTAATTCCCTTAACAATTTTAGGAGGTAGTAATTAGAATTCCTGCTATATACATCCGGAGAGGTTAAAGCAGTGTCCAGAGTCACACTGCAAAGTGATGTGTAAGTGGAAAATCCAACTCCTTATATGAGAGACTGTAGGATGATTAAGGACAAAATAAAAATGCTCAGGGCTGATTTAGAAATACCCCTGCCCCAGTCCTGATGTTCAAGCAAAGAAAGCAATACAAAGTAGGGCTCATTTTAGGTCATTTTTAATTTGTCATTGGTTTCTTGCACTTGCAGGAACTTGATGCAGTGAATCTGCACAGTGGAAACTGTAGTAGCCTAGCCTCAGGTTTATCAGTTATTGACACCTAAGAAAATAAGAGACCAGCCCTGACTCAGGAGTCCTAAAGGGAACAGTGTCATGCTTGTTACACAGAGGCAGTGTGACAGGATTTCCTTCCATAGTCCCTGAGTGCTGGCTCTACCATGTCTTGTCCCAGGGCAAGCTGGTAACTGATTTTAGTAATAGGATAGCAGGTGCTACCATCCCACCGTGCTCTGGGATGATGCTCCCCAGGGTCTGTCACACAGAGAAGTGGTGTTCATTGTTTATTCCCAAGAGCAGAGTCTTGTTCCTTGGAGGCATATGGAACTGCCTTGGCATTACCATACAAGGTTGCCAACACTGTCCATGGCAGCCTGGATGCCTGTATGTTCTAATATTATGGTCTTGGTCAGACTGGATAGACCAGTTTAATGTGTCTCCCTCTACCTCCAGGTCAAACACTGCTGAAGATAAGTTTGTGTTCTGCAATGGACTTGTCCTGCATCGACTTCAGTGCCTTCGTGGATTTGGGGAGTGGCTCGACTCCATTAAAGACTTTTCCTTAAATTTGAAGAGCCTGAACCTTGATATCCAAGCCTTAGCCTGCCTGTCAGCACTGAGCATGATCACAGGTGAGTGCCACCATGCTGAAATGCCGAGTGATCACATCTCCTTTCTCTTCTCCTATCCTGTGGCAAGGTGGCTTTTGATGGTGGCTGCCACACCAGGAAAGTAGGAAAATGACTGTCACTTTTCTGAAGTCTGTTAGATTTAGCTCCAGCTGAGAAACATGCATCTACAACTTGTTGTCACAAACTTCTAGAAAAGAGTCCTTGTATTTAGTTATCATTGTCAGCAAACCTACTATAGAAAAATCTAACTTTCTATCCAAGCTCTGTTGACAGTTGGAGTGGCTGTTTCAGGATTGTTTTTATGAAGGCTTTCCAGGAGAGGACTAAGGAAAATGAGTAGTTGTAAAATGGCTCAACACAACAGTTTTTAAAAGAACCAGAAGCACCAAACAGACTTGGTTTCTGTGTCATTCTACTCTCCCTCAATGTCTCTCCTTTCCTATCTTTTAAAAGGTAAAGAATGGGGGAGAGGTGTTGGGAGGAGAGGCAATGCTGGCTACCAGTTTCCAGCCCAGCTGGCTCTGCCTCACACTCTTGCAGTTTCCTGTTGGATTTTACCCTTTCTAGTCCAGCTTGATCAGTGACCAGAGAGGGAGGTTTCACAGAGGCTAACCAGGTACAGGGCTCAGTCCTGTCCTTTTGGTCAGAGCCAAGAATAGGCCAGGCTGTTGAGCTGAGAGTAAAGCTCAGAGTGGATATGCTCTTGGTGGAGAAATGATGCTCAGGCAAGCAGCGAGTGGCCAGAGACCTGAGTGCATCCTTTGGCACAGGTGGCCCCTTCTTTCAATGCCTCAGAGTTGTGCAGTGGTTTACCTAAATACACATGCATTTCGTTGAAGTATTTCCTGGCAGGGAAAAGGAGATGTGGCTTTGTACTTTCAGAGGCTGGGCTGTTTCATCACTTGACTGTTTACAGAAATGCAAAGTAAAGGACTATGTGCTGCAGTTAGAAAGCAACCACTGGCTTATTCTATATGGAGCCTGACTTCCTCCTGGTTTTTGGTTCTGGATGTGGAACTCACCTTCTTTTAAAAGCAGCATTGGGCCAGGGAGATGGCTTAGTAAATAAGCGCTTCCCTGGCAAGCGCAAGGACCTGAGTTGAATCCCCAGTTCCACCAAAAAAAGCAAAAACAAAACAAAAAAAAAAAAAAAAAAAAAAAAGAAAACACAGCATGAAAGGGTACAAATTCCATTTAGAGGGCTTTTTGGTGACAGAGTACCTGAGGGACTTAAGCACATTTAAGGCACAAGGTATCATCCCAGCAAAATTATAATAAAAGTGGCTCCAAAGCCACCTTTGAATCAAATCTATTCAGCTCAGTTTCAGAACCATTCAGCTCTTCCTAGGACAGTTAGACATTCAATATTGGAAAGTATGAAATTTCATTCATTTTTTTTAATATTTAAAAACCCTAGAGCTAACCCTGGCTTTCCATAGATAAAACCAGTCCTTTGCCACCTCTCTATGGAAACAGATGAGAGGTCTGGCGAATCATCACATCCTACACTGCATGTCATGATGACACACATCCCGGCAGAAGGCAGCACATGCAAGCCATATGTGACTTAGGGTGTCAAGTGCTGTGGTGGAGATGTGGGAGCAGGTACAAGCCACCAAGATACCTTAGGTGCCCCACGTCCCCTCAGAGAGGATTACAGGAGCTGCTCCTTGAAATAGAGCAGAGGCTGTGGAAGGAGAGAGCACTACAGACGTAAATAAAATTTTCCCAATACCATTGAAAATATAGCTGTCATAAATTTCAGGAAGGCAACAACTAAAATAGTGATGGGAGATGCCACTTGGCTGGTGAGTGAGGGTGGGGCAGGGCATGAAGAACCTTTCACACCTAGATGAAACACTTAGCATTTATCTTGAGTGCCCAGGGGAGCTAAGAAGATGTCAACTAGAGGTGCATGATGGCTGGGCTTGTGGTTTAGAAAAAGCTACCCTGACAGCTAGTTTTCAGCACAAATTAGGACAGGAAGGAGACAACACAGTGTGGGAGCTGTGGCTTAGGAGGAGGGCCTGCCCTAGAGGCCTGTTTTATTTATTTATTTAGTTGGTTAGTTAGTTCTCTTAAAGTGGAAATTGATAAACACTGACTAAGAAACTAGGAAGGACATACAAGTTCCAGACAGTCCCAACCTGGAGAGACCAGCAATTCAGCACAGAGAGTACAAAGGAAGAATGAGGGCTGAGGTACCACCAATCTCTGTATCCCATCTGTGGTCCCCTGTGGCTATAGCTCTGCCTGCTGCCCATTTATTTGAAGGCTTGCTAGAGGAGGAGGCAGTTTGGCATGGCAGAAATAGCAAGGACATTGGAATCTGGCATCCTCTTATTCATCTGTTGTGTCACTTTAATAAGTCTGTACTATTGACTAATGCACTTCATTTCTCTGAACTTCCTTTTCCCCTATCCATAAAATGGTAATAATGTCAATTCCAGTGTGTATTATGGAAACTAGGGTTTGTGCTGTAGCCAGACTGGATTCAGGATAGGCCCTCAATCCACTTGCATTCTTCTTCAACGTGATAGTGACATGGCTTCCTTACAATTAGCCATATGTCTGCCCCTTCTCCTTGGAACCCCATGCTAGTCAAGAATATAACACCAGGCCATGAGGAAAGAGGTGGTGGCTTTAGATGGCAGTATGTTCAGTGACAATTTCCTTGGACACTTAAGAGAGGCTTGAGTTAATGTAATCAAGTCACACTAACAATGGCCCCAGTGCATAATGGTGATGTCTTTGGCCTCTCCCCCAGGGCAATGCCAGTTCCTCTCCCTCAGTCCTGCCAACGTATGCAGAGAAGCTGTTGTAGGTACTGTGGTGATGAACCCAAAGAGAATAAGCCCTCTGTTCTCACTTCTGGCCCTCGCAACACTCTCTGGGACTTGTTGGCTGGGAGGGGTTTGAAATGCTTGAAAGCATCAGGAAATGACAAGGAGGGGATGCCTGAGCATCAGTGCACATTGCTGTGTTTATTAAAACTTCCATTCGAAATATGAATGTCCATGAATCTTGATTTTTTTCTTCTTCTTTAAACTCAACATTGAGGATCCAACCCAGGAGTGCTTTACCACTGAGCTATATCCCTAGCTCTTTTTTTAAAATTACTTTTTTATTTTGAGATAAGTTTTTGCTAAGTTGCCCTAGTGAGACTCAAACTTGCAGTTCTCCTGCCTCAGCCTTCTGAGTACTATGCTTAGAATCCTGACTTCTGAACAAGCTCCATCATCATAAAGAACAACTGTGGAATATCAGCCAAGCCATTGGTGTTAGAATATTCATCCCCAGATCTTCTATTTTTAAACCAGAAAAGAACTCATGAAAGGGAAATAAGGTCTTAGAAGTTTATCTATGCTGGCTTCCAGAGAAAGTGCTAAGAACCTGGATGGTGTTGGTGATTTATATAAACATGGCCCCCAGTTCTGTTCCTTCCTCCTCTTCTGTCTATGCCCTTTCATAAAAAGCAGGTGGCTAGATGGGGCCGGAAGTGGTTTCTTTCAGGTCACTCGCCCTTCCTACAGTCATAAGGGAGTTTCCCACAGTTGTGGTTTTCAAGTGCTTTTAGGCCCCCAATTAGCCCTAACCATTGCCTTTTACCAGTGCTCTGTCCCTGGAATGACAGAAATGCTTAACTTCCATTCAGATACCAGCGTTGGTACCTTGTTGCAGTTAGTTGTGTTTAATAAATAAGAAGCACTCCAGACAAGAATTTGGGGGAGCATTACTTTCTTATAAATATCTATTCATTCAATAACTTGAAGGCCTAGGAGTGCCACACACAGAGACAGTAACTAGCAATGTGAAGATGAGCCAGGCTGATGGAATTCTGCTGGTGGAAAAATGTGCAGCTTCATGAAGCTTCCAGAAGTCATGCATGATTGTTATATAATGAATTCGTCTTATGGTGGTCAGTGCTCAAGTCCCTAAAAGGAACTAATTCTGTGCAAGGGAAATCCAGATACTTACAAACATTGGGGGTAAGAGAAGTAACATCTAGACTGATATATAAAGAACATTCTAGCATAAGGAAACTTGAAGGCAGGGATGTGGCAATGCAGAACCTCAGTATATCTGGGGGAAACCATGTATGGTGGAGTTGAATTATGCATGTGTTAAATCACATATATGATGTCCATACAAAAAAAAAAGAGAAAAATTATAAGGATATAGGCTCTGACTCTCAGTGTGCATAAGTTCTGCATTTGAGCCTGAGACAGCAGATATGAACCCACGGTGGGTCACAGTTTCACTGCCTCTAATGTCCTATGCTTTGGGGGAGATTTAGAGGATTTTCAGGAAACAGCTGCTTCTGTGAGATGTTCACTTTATGGCCTGATATTATGACCTAACTTCTGGATATTGTAAAATGCATTTCCCATGTAATAGGGACAGTAGGAATGGAAGTCATGTTGGGCTAGGTGGAAGAGGAACTCTTCAATGCCCAAATGTCATTTTTTGAATCACTACACTCTAAGAATGTCCCCCATGGCTTTTTTTCCTCCCATACTCAGGTCTCCTGTCAGATGAAATAATAACTTCTTTCTCTTTTTTTAATCTGTATTTTTCTTGATCACATTGTAAGAAGGTGCAGAAAGTAGTGAAACTGGGACATGTCAGGCCCAGACAGGTAGCTGATCTTGCCATGGCCTCCACCACCTGTCTTTCCAGGCCTCTCCTGTTCACTCTACCTGGTTACCTAGTTGTCTGGTTTTGGATTATATATAGACCCCAGCAACATTTCAAGGAAAGCTACATGTAAAATTTGGCAAGATAATATAGTTTGAAAAAGAGGTGGGTAGTTCTAGGATTTGAACACTGACATTCAGAATTCAAGCTTTTACTAGCCCACTGCTTAGGCATACAGTGTTGGGCAATTCTTCACCTTCTCTGAATATCAGCTTTCTCATCTATGACAAGGATCATGCCTTCGTCCATGTAGGCTGTAATAACGAAACCATCATGGCTCTTATTTTTCTAACGTACTTCCA